AAAATGAAGCTTCAAACAACATTTTGGTAAAGGAAAGAGTTGTCCAGAGTCACCCCAGCAACCCCCCATTTCCGGGTGTTCGAGGAGTTACGGGACACCCTGTATATGTAAATATGTGTCATAACTTCAAGTCTCACAAGGTTGCACAAATTATAAATGATAGTCATTTGTTCATCATTCAGCAATTTTGAATTGTGCAACTTTGCTCAACAGACAATAAAACTTTCATTTTTTGAAATTCTTTAATGTTACACCTTTTTCCTTTATCTGATCTCCTGTAACTAGGATGTATCGATTTGATTTTAATCTTTTGGGACAACCTACAGTTAAATAATAAGTTTTACAATCATTGTCACCTTTGACTTTGACATACACACATGTATGTACATACGTAGATACAATTATGAAACGTTAGATATTATGTTGTACGTTACAAATGCAAAGTTTATCTAATAATTTGTACACGGTAAGCGTTTAATTCGTATTATCTCGACTCTTAGGTGTTACGTTAGCGTTGCTGTACTCAATGATTTGATTTATGCAATGGGAGGATATGATGGATATTATCGACAAAATACTGCCGAACGTTATAATTATAAGACGAACCAATGGTCCCTGATAGCACCCATGAATTGCCAAAGATCGGATGCCAGTGCAACCACTTTAAAAGGTACATTGATTTGCTACCTACCAAAATTAGAATACCCAAAAATATCTCCTTTGCTTTTGCTAATACGGGAAAAGTGTTTCAACAATTTTCCACAGTCACTTTTCGAATTTTTCAAAATTATCGATATTTTTTGTACGCAAACATAACTATTTTCAAAATAATGTTCTACATCGATTGCCATGCTTATTCTATTGTTTCTGGTATACAGTTATTAGTAACAGCATAAGCTTCAATTATTCGATTCATCGTGCGATTCTGAATATTAGTTAACATAAACTGAAAGTTGATGTTCCAATTCTAGCATTGTTTTAAAGGAACTTGATCACTTTTTTGGCCTTCCAGATTACTATAACATGCAGTAGGAAAAAGGTATAGGTATACAGGGTGAGACACATAAAGCCTGAACAGCTCGATATTATCGAAAACGTTGGCGATACAAAAAAATGTTGTTGAGAGAACCTAAAGTATTTTAAGGGGACAAATTTTTCGCGTAATTGAATTATTTGTATATGGAAGGGTCAAGGACATTTCAAGGTCATCTGTTTTTTTTTTTTTTTAATGGAACTATGTACTTTTTAATGCACGTAAAAAATAGTCCACATCAAGATGAATTCAACGATTATAGTCACTGAAAGTCAATCAAGGTCACAGGCAAAGAAATAGAACATGGAAGTCGAGTACCACGGCCACCGAGGTCACCAGATCTAACTTCTCTGGACTATGGGAACATTTAAAACAAAGAGTAATGTCATTAGTTCTTACAACGTGGGATGACATGAAAACTAGGATACGTGAAACTTGTGTCCTTTTGTCATAGGATCACGAAATGTTTACAAGTGAGAGGCCAACATTTCGAACATCTGCTGAAATGATTGTAGACATTCTAAATAAGAAACATATTAATATTAGAAATAGATGCAGTTGGAAAGATATAACGACTTTCTCTTTACCTGTGACCTTGATTGACCTTGAGTGACTACAATTGTTAAATTCATTTTCATATGGACTATACTTACGTGTATTAAAAAATATATAATTCCATTTGAAAAAAGGTGACGACCTTGAAATGTCCTTGACTCTTTCATATATCAAAAATTCAATTACGCGAAAAATATAGCCCCCTAAAATACTTTAGGTTTTCTTAAAAACATTTTTTTGTATCACCAATATTCTCGACAATATCGAGCTGTCACACTTTACGTGCCTCATCCTATACATACGTACATGGCGTCCCATTTTAATCTTTCCACGCAATTATCTCCCAAAGTATTCGTTATCGTAAGAAATACTTGAAGTAAAACATACTGCGTTTCGAGGGGAACATCTTATGATGATCACAAATCTTATATAGGTGGACGTACCTTTGAGATTTCAAGACGAATTCATTGACCTATAATACTATTGCCTTTGAAGGTTATTTAAAGTAATTTATAGTCGTTCAAAACTTACCTTCGTTAAATATCTGGAAGTTGTTCTTTATCTCCTTGCATATTCAAAAGTACGACCTCGGACGTTAATATACTAATTAATCCTATCTCGGAATGATAATTCCACCCTTTCCAAAGTTGTACAAGTGATTTGTCGGCATGTATTTCTACTCCGGTCCTTCGTGTTATTAGGAATAGTGGGATCTTCCCGATAAACATGATTTTGTACAGACCCCCACAATCAAAAGTCCAGATGTTAAGGATACTTAAGTTAGACCAGGTTTACGATACGGACGCGACTCTCTGCTATTTTTGAGATTAAGGTTTGAATAAGCGTTTAATGTTTTCGTTCGTTAATTATTCCTTATTGTCAGGAGAGCTCCAAATCTCTCATAAAAGCGGAGAATTTGGAGTTTTCTTCGTGCATCTCAATAGCAATTCACGTATCATAAACCCGCGCGAGCCCAGGCACATAAGCCCAGGTGACGCGTACTTCACGTACTTGAGGGTGAGTGGTTGGCGTTGGGCGGTGACCAAGGCCCGAACGTGAGTGGGAGTCTTAGCCTCTCACCCAAAACTCACCTCCGTCAAGGGACCCAAATGCGACCAGGGAAGGGGAAATGCGAGGGCTGACCGGGGCAACGCGCCAACGAGACAACCAGAACGCAAAAAAGGTCAAGAGCAAAAAGTTCAGGCAATCACACAGTCGCTACATTTTCAATCGATTCTTGACGACGTGTCAGAATTGAACACCAGATGTGTTAAGTCGGGTGACCTTGGTGGGAAGAGTGTCCTGTTTTATCTTCGGATCCAACGATTGGGAAACATATTATTCAGTGTTTTTCGAATTGAATGGTCACAATGGGCGAGAGCTCTATCCAGCTGGAAGCACATTCGTGTTCCAATAGCAAACGGAACTTCTTCCAAAAGATCTTGTAGTTCGTTGACTAAAAAAATCATTGTATCGAGCTCCTGTGAGACTACTCCCACTAAATGTTCACCTATTGTCCCACACCACACGTTTAACGACCTCTGACGTTAACGTTTAATTGACCGGTGCCAGAGTGGATTTTCGTCAGATCAATAATGGTAGTTATGCCAATTTACTGTACCACTGTTTCTAAAAGTAGCTTCGTCAAAAAAATGTACGTAAGAAAAGAAGAAAGGGTCGCGTAATATTTTCAACCGAACCCATAGACAAAATTGTAACCTAGCAACGTAATCAGCATCGGTTAGTGCTTGATGGAGAGAGATGTGATCTACTGGATGCAGTATAACGATTTTGTACCTGCCGGGAGCTGATGCATAGGTTCATAGAAACTGCACCGACAACTACGATCACTGAATCTTGTGAGCGATTCCTACGATGGCGTTTATGCAAATACATAACATATTCTCACCCAGAACGAAGTTCACAATTACTAATCACTACATGACTCAGGTGACGGCGATCTGGATATCTCTCCCGATATAATCGCGTTGACATTCTCCCAAAACCACAAGCATATCAATAATTTCGTTCGGCGTATAATAAGCCATTGCACATTCAATCACTACTAAAACGAAGAAAGCATAACGCTAATTACGGCAATACATACTGATTCTGCCGAAGCAATTGTAATACAAACTGAGCACATCTGCTAGTAGCAAATCCTCTGTTTGTAAGCGAAATCCTACGGTACAAGGAATCTCACGAATATTCAACACATGTAAATTTTGAACTGCAATAAATAACCTGAAGTGACCTTGAAAGGTAATCGTATTTGGGTCAATGAATTCGTCTCGGAATAGGCTACACGCCTATCTAAATGAAAATATATAGTTCTATTTAAAAAAACCAAAGTCATCTTGAAATCTCGAAGGTATGTTCACTTATATAAAGATACTTGCGTGGAAAGATTAAAATGGGACACCCTGTATGTGAATTCGTGTAGAAAAATATTGATGGCCTTGAAAGATTTAAAACAATTATTGTAGAAAACATTTTTTTATTGAATCATCGTTCATTAAATTATGTCTTTAATATATTTTCTAAATTATTTAGATTTTCTAATTCTCATGGAATACCTTACACTTTCTAGTGTATATACCAGGGGTGGCCAGTTACACTACCTTTGGAAGCCACATTTCAGGAAGGAATATATGAAAGAACCATTTATTTATCTTTGATAACAAAACAAACAATGAGAATCTGAAAAATCAGTTCAATTTTTTAATAATCTTTTCTTCTCTGGACTATGGGAACATTTAAAACAAAGAGTAATGTCATTAGTTCTTACAACGTGGGATGACATGAAAACTAGGATACGTGAAACTTGTGTCCTTTTGTCATAGGATCACGAAATGTTTACAAGTGAGAGGCCAACATTTCGAACATCTGCTGAAATGATTGTAGACATTCTAAATAAGAAACATTTAATATTAGAAATAGATGCAGTTGGAAAGATATAACGACTTTCTCTTTACCTGTGACCTTGATTGACCTTGAGTGACTACAATTGTTAAATTCATTTTCATATGGACTATACTTACGTGTATTAAAAAATATATAATTCCATTTGAAAAAAGGTGACGACCTTGAAATGTCCTTGACTCTTCAAGGCTCTACGCGCGCTCTGATTGGCCAGTGTTTTTCGTTAATAATTCAAAAATGAAGCTTCAAACTACATTTTGGTAAAGGAAAAAGTTGTTCACCCCAACAACCCCCCATTTCCGGGTGTTCGAGGAGTTACGGGACACCCTGTATACAATGATTGTATGTAATTTTTGATACGTGTAATAATATATTTTTCTTTTCGTACAAAGAAAAGTTGACTACTGCGTTTCATATTTGATATACAGATCGAATATATTGATGTTACATATATTCAATATTTAATTTGCAAGAAAATGATGAAAAATAGGTAAACAGTTTTCAAAAATGGTAATAAATTTTGAAGTATCAAGATATTATACATCTATGTATTATATTTTTGCTTAAATTTATAAATACAGTGAAACCTCAAGGGAAGGGAGTATTCGAGTAGGAGAGGTCATTATCAATGCCCTTTTTCTTTCTTGATCCAGTTTTTACTCTTTCAATTATGTATATTTTACCAGCCAATGTTAATCTTTTCCGCTTGCGTTTAGAATTCATTTTGTTACATGTAATCCGAAGAAAAGAATAAGAAACTGTAGAACTGTGCTTTAACTTATTCCTTCAATCTTTCACAGCAAACTGCTTTTGTGATCAAAACGCATGCACTGTGTATCTCTATAAAGAAATAAACAATTGACGATCGTTGAACCGTTGATCCTATTGGATCGATTGACTGATATGTAGAAATTAACTTTGATTTGTAGAAATCGGAGTTCTTCTGAATTCGAGTTGTAGAGGTAAAATACATATTAAACATGCGACTAATAATTCAAGTTGTAGAGGTTTTTACAGCGGAGCGGAACCAAAGAAAATTTTCGCCTTACAGGGGTTTTCGAGTTATCGAGGTTCCACTGTATTTTAAAGATTATGAAAGTTACATAGGATTAATAAAAAGAAAAAAAAAAGAAAAAACTGCTGGTTACGTTTTCTTCCTTCACTCGTGCCATTAATTATGTTGCTAATAACTGTTATCCAACTGTTCAATCAAATTGAAATTCTTTCCTATAACAGAAAAAATTTATATCACGGGAGGATTCAATGGACATGAATGTTTAAATTCAGCCGAGGTGTACGATCCGGAAACCAATCAATGGACGTTGATAGCACCAATGAGATCACGTAGAAGTGGAGTATCTTGTATATCTTATCACAATCATGTATACGTTATTGGTAATTACTGCAATACTTTTTCTAATTTAAAAGAATTAATACACAATGTTCATTTTGACGATAAAATTATATTGTAGCCGACTTCAATAAATAAACATACTAAACTTGTATAACTTTTTCTTGTTACATTATATACAAACATTTCTCTTGTAGGAGGTTTCAATGGAATATCAAGAATGTGCAGTGGCGAAAAATATAATCCTGTAACGAATGTTTGGAGTCCCATTCCAGACATGTACAATACACGTAGCAATTTTGCAATCGAAGTGATTGACGACATGATTTTTGCAATTGGTGGATTCAATGGTGTTACCACGATTTATCACGTCGAATGTTACGATGAGAAAACGAACGAATGGTAAATATAAAGTATCGCTGTGACTTTTCTTTAGCGTAGATATAGTTGTATTTATTCTAGCTTAATTAATGTCGTGTATGAATGAAAATCAAGGGTAAATTAATGTTTTTATTATTTGAAAAAGGTTTTCAGAAAAGTTATTGAAACTAGTGTTTACACAAAAATGGATCACGTTAAAATTGTCCGTTATTTCTTTTGACGTATTACATCGCAGTAACCACGAGTCTGCTGTTGTTCCCTTCATTTCGTATTATTGCCATAACTTTTTAACGAAGCTCTAAAAGATCTACGTTTGTATAACATTTTTTTTTTATTTCGACCCATAGAATATGCTGACAACGTTTGGCCATTAAAACCTGGGACACCCTGTATTATTCAATCTGTATTTAGAAACTATTAGTAATCGTTAGAAATATTTCAGTCTTTTGTCAGAAAGTACTCTAACTCGGAGTAGGGTGGGCGTAAAATTAATTAAACGTGTCTACGTTTTTACAATTTATTAAAAGTCTATATCCGCGTTATCTGAGCGTCGTTCGCAAAAGTATGCTTCGAGGGTCCGGTGAAGAGTGAGGACGCGTCGTCCTGCCGATCACTGTCCACCCCTACGCGAACAGGCCCAGGGAAAAACCCCAAAGGGGCGAGTCGACCCCTTTCTCACACTTTAAATGTTATTTTCAATGGTTTAATTAACACGCACAATTTAGGCATAGTTGAATCATAATAAAGAGTATGAATACTTCTTTGTTATACAGAAATGAACGTCTTTTATTTCTTATTGATTTTAAAGTACAATATAATTTCGTTTTTTATGCAAATGAAAGAAAGTTCGTTCTAACATAAGGGTTTTCAAACTTTTTGGTTACTCTTTTGGTATAACACCTTACTATAATTCTTTAAAAAGTATTTGAATTCTAATTCTTTAAAAACGAAAACCTAGATCTATTATTCGATTTTATCTTTTCCACAGGTATGAAGCAACGGACATGAACATATATCGTTCCGCGCTATCAGCTTGCGTGATCATGGGCTTACCTAATGTAAACGACTACATTCACAAACACCGCGAACGTCTAATGGAAGAAAAACGGCAGAAACTACTAGCACTGGAGGTACACCGTAGTCAGCATCAACATCAACATCAACAAGATCAAATGCAGCAAAATCGAGAAAGTCTGTTAAACAGTGAAAGTATACCTGCACCACCTTCAATGCTCCCAAATAGCATTTCCAATAACGAAAATCGACAAAATTGACAAGAAAAAGTGACGTTGAAACTACGGGTTTTACGGTCAGTCGGACGAACGGTAATTGACGCAATAGAACAATGAATGTTCAGAGCGATTGAAGTACGGTTACATTGAAAGAAAATATTAGCACAGTGGGAGACATTTATATTGATAGTAACATTTTAGGCGTCAGACATTCTCGATTTATTGAAAATACTTGTTAAGTATCGTCGATTTATCTCGCTTCTTTAAACAAATGAATATATTTGAAAGTGGAACTTTAAATTACTTGTAAGTTGTATTAAACATAGCCTTTGAAAGGTGAGATAATCTTATCATTGAAGTAGTTGTGGACAATTTTAGCTAAAATATGAAATAGTTTTCTTTCACTATAACCGTAGCTTTTTTCAAGTTTCGAACGACAAAGTAAATCGTCAGAAATAAAAAAATCTACTGACGGCAAAAGATTAATGTAGAGTCAGATAATAATATCCTGTTGTTAACAACAGTAAAAATGGATACATTTTTACGCTACACATATGTATGCACATGTTGAACGGGATAGTATTTTCGGATTCATGTTTACTTGAATTTGTTAAAACAGTGTGTATTTTGTTTTTATACAAGGCATTTTTCTATTGGATGTTTTTGTGACACAATTTTGTACGAAGTTTATTGGACGACTTTACATATATAAACGAATTTTGGATGCCAATTGTAATAAAGAGAAGAACGAAAGAACGATTTTTGAAATATATATATATACACTTTAGTAACGCTGATAAAGAATGTTGACAAACCCTGTTGAAATGGAACTTACAACAATTAATAAAACAAATATTAACAAATATGTAGTTTTTCTTTTTGATGAACATTTTTCAAGTATGTTAGAAAAATTGGCACTTAAAGTTAAAAAAAATGTGTTATATTTTCTAAACTACTTTTCCAATTTATATTGTATGCTGCAAGAAGAATTTTCTTCGTATCGAATTAAACAAGCTGTTTCTAAATTACAGTAATTAACAACAAGTGTTTTTTATTAATATTCCCATATTGCGCATAAAAATTTTTTCGTATCAATTACCTACAGCAGGTGTTTTTAAATTACATTAGTTAAGATAATCGTAAATTCCAAATAAGATTATAAACATGGTAATGTTTTTATAATTCATATAATTCAAAATGTATATATGTATACATACTGTAAGGAGAATCAATAAATTGACGCGTATTTGATGGAAATGAATTTATTAACCGTTGCGTGGGTTAGCTTGCTTAGATCGTCACCGCGCGACTCTCTAACCAAGACTGGTTTTCCGACTAGGAAAGCCCTTTTTTCCCGCCGTTGCCAAATATGCGTCGCCAAGGGCCTCGAGGGTTGGTGGCCGATGCTCGTGGCGTCGTAATCCTCGGGCCCGATATCGCCTACTCCTATTACTCTTGAGGTGGGTGAAGAACGCCGTTGCACTGGTTTCACCTCAATTTATTAAAATCTAAATGAGATGGTCGGCGTACAGTTCGCTCGGAATAATACAATTGTTTTGTTCGCTAATCGTCCCGGCGACAGCGGTTCGGCGGGTACGTTTCGATGGCTGGTAAAGGAAAAACCGACCGGAGGTGTAGGCGTACTGGGTTTTTATATTGTTAGGACAGGGAGACAGGAGTAGAGATAGATAAAGATAGAAGTGGAGAAAGTGGTGGAAACGGAAAATTTGTAGAAAGCGGGGCCGTTCGTCTTCGTGCAAACCTCGATGTGCGCTTCTTAGGCTCCTCGAGGACGAATGCAAGTCTTAACCCGGGGAGAGACAAAAGAACGGAAACTAAAATCTGAAGGACTTGGAAAAGAGAAAGTTCGCGTGGAAGAATAGAACAAGGTTCGGTAAGGGTTTGTTGGCAACAACATACCCGCCACACTCTAAACATCCGGACCGGCCGCCCGAATGCCAACCTCGACGGCGCCCTCGAATTCTCTTACACTTTTTAAAAACAGAATAACTGTTACTGTCCAACTAGAACTTTTTCCCATTTCCGAAAAAGTAAAAATTTTCTATTTATGCATACATATATGGAGTAAAAGTTTCAGTGGATTTATAACTGTTTTCTGTAAGGAATACGAGATTTAGGCGGCGAAGTGGTGGCCTGGACTTCGTCACCCAGGGTCACTGGAAGAGAAAGCGCGTGGGTACCCGAGGGTGCCATAAACTAAGCCCTTTCCCCGGACAGTCGAACTAGAAGGCTCTAACGGTTTTTCGGAGCAACGCGGGATAGGACGCGGAGAGGGCACTTTCATTATAGCCGTCGAGCAAGACGGACACCCGATCATCTTAGCCACCGCTTATATTCTAAAAATAATACATTTGGTTAATAGCCAACACTGTGTTCTGTTTTTTGAAATTGTGCTTACAAATCAGAAGTGGGATAGAATCATGTGCTATACAATAACAGTGCCGAAAAATGGTGAACAAGATAAGTGGTGTGAGTAAAGGAAGTGGATCCGTCACAAGCCCGAGGGAGGAGCACGAGCCCTCCGTAGAAGACTTGCGAGGGAGGAAGACGATTGTAGTGCGAGAATCGCGCGGTTGGAACGTTTATTCGAGGACAGCCGTCGTTCGCGACAGCGGCCGCTATTGGGGACGCGTCGGCGCTCGCGGATGCCGGCACGCTCGCGATCGCCGGACAGACGCGGGTCTCGCACGTCCGGTAGCGGGAGAAACCAATTGGATCGGATGGAGCAGATGATCGCGAGTATCAGTGGGGGTTCCTCAACGCGGGATCGTACGCCGACATGCACCCGTCCGGGGGATGAGGCGCTCATCCCAGTGTTCGACCCGGCGAAGGGCGATATCACGATCCTCCAGTGGGTTAAGCTGGTGGATGACGTTGCCCGTCGCTACGGATGGGACGGCCTGGCGGTTTCAAGACTGATCGCCACGCGCCTGCAAGGACATGCCCGGAAGTGGTACGACACCCACCGACGAGCTACCGCCATGTGGGCGGAAACGAAGGTCCTGCTCGCGAGCCGGTTCAGGAAGGTGGTCCCGTTCAGTCGGTTGCTGAGTGAGGCCATGGTATACCAAACGCGGCCGGGCCAAAACCTGGGAGATTATTGCTTCTAGAAATTGTACCTAATACAAGGACTGGACGCGGTATTCCGGGAGGTGTATCAGGTCGACATGGTGATCGCGGGAATAACGGACCCTGGGGTAGCCCGCACCGTGCGCTCGGCACAGCACACGGATCCGGACGCACTTTACGTGTTCATGAATTTGCTGGGCGATATGCCGCCGCGCGCGCAGGTAACAAGGATCACTCCGCGCCGAGCACGTCCAGGGGAGCAAGACCGCCTGCACCAAGGACAGCAGGTAAAGACGGGGCGGGTAACAGCGACCGGCCAGCTCCGAGAAGCGGCAGATGCTACCTGTGCGGAGGGGTGGGGCACTTGGCGAGGCAGTGCCGTAAAAACCCACAGAAGGATGGTCCGAGTAAGGTAAATACTTTGAACCATTCTAAGACAAACGCGAATATGTACGAAATTGGAATTCGTGTTAATGGGAAACGGATCGGTAGCCTCATTGACAGCGATCGATAACCGTGAAGTCTCGCGTACGTATTTGTTCACGATCGCGCGCGAATGAGTCTCTGCTCTCCGTGCCTGGGCGCGGGTTCTACGCGCGCTGTGATTGGCCAGTGTTTTTCGTTAATAATTCGAAAACGAAGCTTCAAAGTACATTTTGGAAAAGGAAAAAGTTGTTCAGAGTCACCCCAGCAACCCCCCATTTCCGGGTGTTCGAAGAGTTACGGGACACCCTGTATACATATAGGTAACAACTGTGAGCCTCCGAGCGGCGCGGTGTAGTGAATTTACTCCTGATAAACCTTAAACGGTCAATAGATTTGGCTTCTAGTATAGTCTTAGAGTTCATCAACGCATTTTTCCCGCTTGCGCAGTCATTCATGCTTCGTGATAACCATCCTGTATGTCTAAGTAGATAGAGCGGTAGCACGACATCTTGGCAAAGGAGTCGGGGTCAAAAAGAATCTAATTGTCTTGTATATGTAAGTCATGCTATAGTTTGCTTTACGACGCGTCAATCGCTCTTGAGTATATAAAAACGAAGTACCATCAAGGCATATGCACCGCAGAAATGCAAACTTTCTGTGTTCATAGAATAATATCTGGGCCTGGGCAGCTAGTTTATAAGGTATCGAATAAATAAGAGATCTTTGAACAAAAACTAGGCATCTGCGTCATAAACTCAAGAGCTTAATAAGATTAGTTGCATGAATTTACAATAAAACCTCCATTATATGAACTGGACATTTAATTTTCATTTTACTTATTTGGGAAAATATAATATAAATCCTTTTCCTTCATTTTATTCCTTATTTTATTGTATTCTACCTATGTTACTTTTTTCTTTCAAATATCAACATCATGATAATGGTATTAAAATACCAAGACTAGTTTTCTCCTACATTTTAAATAATTAAAATATATATTTGCTGCGTCACTCTTTGATACATAAGTCTTTAGTAGCAATTAATAGGTCTAAATTATGTTCAGTTGTACATATCATTAATCAATTAAGCTCTTATTATCTTCTACTTTTCCTTATTGTATTCAAGTTTTGTTATAAAAATTAAAATTGTGTAAATAATTAAATTACCCAGCTCATATTGATTTTCATACTGCAAGACTATATACTACAAATAAAGTTTCATACCGCTGTTTTATTTGAAATATAAAATACATTTTTCAGTTTTACTTATATTCGTTCAGGAATATATATTAGTACATCAAAATTAATATATCAGTATTCAAATAATGAAAATTATGCTATGCACAAGAGCGTTCAATAAATATCAAGTATGATAATTTATATTTTTGCAAAAAAAATATACTTTCCTGGAAATCTAGCGAAGGGTATTCCCATACAGCTATCCATCTTTGTAAAATCCTCATCATCTTGAACCCAACACATACACATTGTATTGCACATACATGGTACACTGTAGCACTCTATCAC